ACATACTGGGTTTATTTCTGCAGTCACATTTTGCTCAAGCCATTCTCCCTACCCAGCATGCCTTCTCTTTCGTCCACCACTGTCCTGATCAGGAGCCCCCTGCCCCTGTGCCTCAGCCCCCTCCTCCATGTGACTCACTCACATGGGACCCCCCAGTCACCAGAACCACGAGGCACTCAGAACCCTAGCCAGAGGGAGAGACTTCCTGTGGGTCCCCTCTTCCTCTCCCACACCCTCAGGCCTCCACAGAAGTCTCTGATCACAGGCCAGGAGGACACGAGCAGGAAACAGGCCTGGGGGAGAGGACTTGCCAGAGTCCTGAAGAGTCAGTTCTTCCTTCATTCTCTCTTACAAGCATTTGCTCATTGTCAGGACACATTGCTGGGTAGGCTTGGCAACTGGGCATCAGCTGGCCCTCCTGTCTCACTCAACTGCCAAGCGCTCACTAGTCCTGGCTTCAACCTCCCGGACCCACTTGCTCCCTTTCCCCTTTTGGACTCTTGCTTCCACTCTTGTCCCCTCCTTTCTCCAAACAGCTGCACTGTAAAAATGGTGTGGGGGCAGTGTCTGAACTCTCTCTTCACTAGGGGAAAGGAGAATAAAGATCAACAGCCCAAGGCTGATTCCTATGAGGCAGAGGTCAGACATGTCTCCTCTATCCACCACCTTTACCAATTCTGACACCAACTGTCCCTCCCACAGCACTCTCTACTTCTCTGCTGGGTTTGATAATTCATTGCAATGGCCACACAGAACTCACAGGCAATACTCACAATTATGGGGTTTATGAGGGAAGTAACAGGTTACAATTCAGGCTCAGGAACACTTAGGATACAGTTCTTCCATCAGGATAGCCTCTTTTCAGCTGTGCTCTCAGGCACACCTCTCTCTGGCCCTAGTCCTCTGCCCTGCTCAGGCAAGTGTTACAAAACTCTTTAAGTCCCTGCCAATAAGTCCTCAGAGGCATCCTAGCTTTCTCACTCCATGGGCTAGGAAGCCCACTTCGAGGTCTCCTGCTGGTCTCTCCTGCTGGTCTCTTCTGCCAGTCTCTCCTGCCACAGTTTCTCTGCCACCACTTCTCGCCATCTTCATGGTTGCAGCTTGCTGTCTGTCTCCTGTGTCCAGGAGCTTCTCAGCACAGGGATCCCAGGTCCAAAGGACATGCTCTCTGCCGCTGGCTGTTCTTCCTTGGTGGTTGTGGGATCCTCTCTTTCCTGCCTCTGGGGTGGCTCATTTCAAGCCCAGCGGGACGGTAAAAACTGACCAGTCCCCTTGGTGGGACACAATTACCCTATCTGCATAGTCCCATCCAACCGCTTGGGTGGGGGTTACAAGACCATGGCTAGAAAGGCCACACAAAAGCAATCCATCGCACCGCAGCTGCCGTCTGGTCATGCCCCCCTCCCTGCTTAGAACCTTCTCATGGCTCCCTACTGCAGTTCAGACAGAGACCACAGCCCACCAGGCCCTGCTGGCGGCCTCCAGCCCCTCTGTAGCCTCACACTACACACAGCTCCCCTCCTTGCCCTGCCTCCTTTATGCCACCCCAGGGCCCTTGCACAGGCTGCTCCCGGTCCTGGCCTAGTCGTGCCTATTCATCCTCTCCGGCCTAAACTGCCTCTTCCCTGGACCCCTCCAGAGCCCTGCTTATTCCTGGAAAGTCCCAATTCTGCTACCAGGCTCAAGGGCTAAACCCCAGCCACCTCTTCTGCAGCCCAGGCCTGAAGCAGCCCACCTGGTGCTGCTGCTGCCTTAGGGTTCCATATTTGGTGCTAAAAATACCTTACAGCCCAGGAAGGAAGGGCCAACAGCTGGAGCCTCATTTGGCCTACCCACCCCAGCTAGGGGGCTGGGGGCCCATGTGAGGGGAAGGGGGGGGACTGTGCTCACAGACCTTGAGGAAGGCCTTTCCATCCCTCCCACCCCCAACGGAGAGGTGCTCAGGGCTGGCAAGGGGCCTTGTGTGTTGTCAAGAGGAAAGTATGAGCTGATTCTGACTCCACCATGTACACAAACACTTACCTGGCCTCTGATGCTCTGGTTCTTTAGAATACAGTACATTTAAAAATGAAGTGCTAAGGGTCCTAAGAGAAGATAGGTGAGCTGCAATCTCTCCCAGGGCAGATTAGAGAGATCTTCCTGGAACAGGGGGCATTCCCACCACCCTCTCTTCCTCCCTTCTTTTAACATAATATTTAGGTTGGTAGAGAGGAGAATGAATGAGTGAATGAACAAATGAATGAGTCGAGAGCTGGGCAGTCCCCAGGGAGAGAAGCTGAGGCCTGCAGAAGAGGTGGTGGTGGTGAGGCGTGCTAGAGAGGACAGAAAGGACTGGAAAGGTGTGTGGAGGCATCCAATGCACTTGGCAACGAGGGGCTGAGGGGGAGAGAGAGGCAGGATGACCCCAGATTTCTAGATTGTCACTGGGGACCCATGGGGTCTTTCCTCGTACATGAGGCCTGTGGGAGGAGGGCAGGTTTGGTGGGCTCAAAGGGGCTGTCCTGCCAGAGACACTGGAAGAATGAGAATGTGGACAGGGTACCTGGGGGTCTTGGGTCTCTGGCTTGGTGCGCAGGCCCATTGGGGGCTCTTTATCTCCTCAGTCCACAGCCCTCCGCACAAGAGACAGGTCTCACCATCCTGCTGCTTAGGACAGATGCCAGAATGCCCTGTGCGTCCCTAGGCCCAGGGAGCCTGTGATGTGCAGGGCTCCTCTCCACAAACAGCTGTCTGGAGGGTCCCAGGTGAGGTGGATCTGGTGTCTCCAAAGTGGCTTGCTTGGGCCCTGCCCCGCACTGGGCCTCGGTTTCCCCATCTGGGGTTCTCCCCCCTCCAACGGGAACTTCTGCACTAGGACCCAGCTGCCGTCCCCTCTCCTCCTGCCCAGCTCCAGCCTCCTAGTGATGTGCCTGTCAGCCCCCAGAGCCCCCATCCCAGCGCCTGCATTATCGAGCCCCATCAAAGGGGAGCTGAGGCCCATTCACAATGGCAGCCCCTCCTTTTAGCCCCAGCCTGACCCCAGTGGAGGGCAGGCCAGTGCCTGCCAAGCACCTGGAAGCAGGAATACCTCCCCTTCCCTGCCAACAGGAAACCTGACCGTCGCTCCCACTGGCTCCTGCTTGCTTTGCAGGTGCCCACCCTGGCATCCCGACTTCCCCCTATGCCCACTGCTATCCACTCTCGGTGTGGCTGTGTCCCACAGTCTTCCCAGCCCGCATCTCCCTGGGCTTCTGAGTGTCTTGACCCTGGAGTTCTTTCCTGCTTCAGCTCCTGGACCCAGGCCTCTTGGCCACCTCACCTGGCTGGGTCTGTCTTCTTTCCCTGACCCAGGCTGGGCTCCTTCTCTTCATCCCTTGGGCATCTCATGCAAATGCCCACAGTGCTACAAATGCCTACATTTAGACCACCTGCCCGACCTCCCTCAAAGCTACACTTGGATTTCTTAAGGGGATATCACACTGATGCCTCAGCCTCAGCAAGGCCATAACTGAGCTTTTCATCCCCAGATGTTCTAGAGGTCACCACCGGCCATCACCCTGTGGCTCAGGTCACTGCATCACCCTTGAATCCTCTACCACACCTCTAACCAGTGTGTGAGCAAGACCTACACCCCGCCCCTTCCTGCTCTCCTGGCTGCTGCCTTTCCAAGCCCACAGGCCCTTGCAGCCTCCCCTGCTCACTAATTGCCCTCTGGCCTGCTTGCAGTCTTTGGCCCACACGGCAGCCAATCAAATGTCACCTCCTCAAATGAAAGGATTAACAAAATGTGGTACGCACACAATGGAGTAGTACACAGCCATAAAAAGAAATAAAGCCCTGATGTGCGCCACAACATGGATGAACCTGCAAAACATTATACTGAGCGAAATAAATCAGTCCCAAAAGGACAGTTACTGTCTGAGCTCACTTATATGAAATATAAGCAAATACATAGAAACCAAAGATTGTTAGTGGTTACCAGAGGTTGAACGGAGGAGGGAGGTGTTGTTTAGGGGGCATTGAGTTTATGTTAATGGTAGTGGAATGATTTAGAAAAGGATAGCAAGAATGGTTGCACAACATGAAGAATGTAATTAATGTCACTTTATTGTACGTGTAGAAATTGAGATGGCTTATGTTTTGTTTTGTGTATTTTCTCCGCAATTAAAAAGATGGCCATAAACTAGGATAAAATTCTCATTTCTAAAAAAAAAAAATGACCTCCTCACAGATGCGCCCACTACGCGGCCCTCTTGCCTTCACCTGGTGCTGTGTCTGCCAGGACACTGTCCTGACGGTAAGGGACACCGTCTGTGGGTGATGCCGTCTGCCCGGCATCTGGAACAGCGCCCGCTCATGGTGAACTCTCAATGCCACGTTTGTTGAGTTCGTGAATGAATGAATGGGGTTCCCTCGCCCCAAGATGATGAGGCAGTATGCAGCCCGGCCCCCTCCTCCGGCGGCCCGGAAATGCTGGAGCGGGGATGTGGACACGCTCTTGCACGCCTCCTGGGCTAAGGGTCAGGTGGGATTGTCCCCGGTCTTACAGTGGAGAATTACCTGCCGGGTCGCAGACCAGTTGGCAGTGGAGCAGCCCCGCCCTGCCCGACTTCGCCTCCCTCTAGCCCCGCCCCTCTCGGCCCCACTTGCGCCCCGCCCCCGTCTTTTCTCCACTAACAACACGGATCTTAGCTCCGCCCCTGTGGCGACCCCGTGGGTCATCGTTATTGGTCCTGTTGTAGAATGCCGCGAAGAGACCAGCTAGCTCCTCATTGGCCACGGGTTCTCCGGCGCCGCCGCCACAACAACCGCCACGTGCTCAACTGTGGAGCCTGCTAATTGGCCAGCAGTGTAAAACCGTCCACACCCACCCCTGCCCCGAGCCGGAGGCCCGCCCCCTCCTTCCATTGGCTACCATGCCTAGGGCCCCGCCTTCTAGCTGCGCATCCGACGTGGATTGGCTGAAAGCCGGAGCGAGGCGGGGCTCGGAGTCGGGTTAAAAAGTGGGCTGCGGGTCGCGTCACTAGTGCCTGAGAAGGATCAATGGCTTGGCAGGGCTTGGCGACCGAATTCCTGCAGGTGCCGGCGGTGACGCGAGCCTATACGGCGGCCTGCGTGCTGACCACCGCCGCCGTGGTGAGCCAGCGGGGGGTGGGGGAGGGGGGGAATGAGCGTCGCCACGGTTACGGCCCCGGCAGACGGGGCGAGCGTCGGGCGAGCGGGTTGAGGGGTCCTTGGTTATGGTCCAGGCGGGCGAGGCGACCATGGCCGTGGTGACGACCCCTGACGGGCCTTGGTTCCGCAGCAGCTGGATCTCCTCAGCCCCTTCCAGCTCTACTTCAACCCGCACCTCGTGTTCAGGAAGTTCCAGGTGAGGCCGCCCCGCCCCGCCCCTGAGGCCGCCCAGCTCCGCCCGGCCCGTCGCTCCTGACCGCCTGCCCCCCGCAGGTCTGGCGTCTGGTCACCAGCTTCCTTTTCTTCGGGCCCCTGGGATTCAGCTTCTTCTTCAACATGCTCTTCGTGTATCCTGCGCACGGACCGGGCAGGGCGGGGCGGGGCGCGTGGGCACCGGGAAACTGAGGCCCGCACGCTGCGCTTCCTATACTGAGGTCCAGGTTCCGCTACTGCCGCATGCTGGAGGAGGGCTCGTTTCGCGGCCGCACGGCCGACTTTGTCTTCATGCTTCTCTTCGGGGGTGTCCTCATGACCGTATCCTTCCGGGCTCCCCGAGTCTGGTGTGCTTTGTCCCTGGAGCCCTAGATGACCGCGCGGCCGGGGGCCAGGGAAGGGAGAGTCGTACCCCCAACCTAGGATGCATTGAGTGGCCGACATGTGCCCGGCTTAGCTCCAGGCGTCAGAGCTAGAGCTCATGGCTGTGCGCAGAATACCACAGGGCGATGCCCTGGAGAGTGAGCTCGGCCTGGGCCCTGGGTCCTGAATGCCAGTCAGCCAGGAGGGACTCGGGCGGGGGTGGAGGCTGAGGTGAGTGGAGAGCTGGGCAGGACAGCATGGGACCTGTGGGCCACGGAGTGTGGCCTTGATTCTAATGAGGGAATAGCACATAGGGCCGGTGAAGGGAGGGAGGCGGGGGGAGGATTTATCTAGGAAGTTAGTGGACAAGCCTTGGTGACTAGATGAGGGTGAGGGTCATGTCAGGGACCAGGCTTCGACTTCTACCTTGGGGCTTCCGCTTAGGCTCCCCATCCTTCACACCCCGAAGATTGCAAGCCCTCCCCGCAAGGGCCCTGGGCAGGGCTGAGGCCTGGGAGTGGCCTCCAGGCCCCTTGACTCTGGTGTAGCTGCTGGGGCTCCTGGGCAGCCTGTTCTTCCTGGGCCAGGCGCTCATGGCCATGCTAGTGTATGTGTGGAGCCGCCGCAGCCCACGCATCAGGGTCAACTTCTTCGGGCTCCTCACCTTCCAGGCACCCTTCCTGCCTTGGGTACTCATGGGCTTCTCTATGCTGCTGGGCAACTCAGTCCTCGCGGACCTGCTGGGTGAGCCATCTGCCCACCTGGAGGGGCGGCCCATACCTCATGCTGCATAGGACCTGAGGACGTGAGCCCCCCCGCCCCAGGATCTGCCTTCTCGGCTCCTCTGTTCTTGCAGCCCCTGGAACACGCCAACCCCCAGCTTCATCTTTGGGGTGGCCTGCCGACCTGTGCATGGGGGCAGGGGGTAGTGGTCCAGGGTTCCCGCTCCATGGCCCCAGCTCTTCTGAAGGCCCTGTGTGTGCTGGCAGCTTCTCAGGCTCTCCCATCCCTAGGTCCTTCATGGACAGCTCTGGCCCAGCCTGGACTGGCTCAGTCCATGTTCCCAGGCCTGCCCTGAAGGTGGGCTTCTATGTGAAGCTGCTCCGCCCCTGTACCTGTGGGCTTGGAGTCGTGCAGTGTGGCCTCAGCAGTCCTGACCTCTCCTCCAGGGACTGCAGTGGGCCACATCTACTACTACTTGGAGGATGTGTTCCCCAACCAGCCTGGAGGAAAGAGGCTGCTGCTGACCCCCAGCTTCCTGTGAGTGCTAGAGACACCACCCTCCCCACCTTCCTCAGACCTCTTTACCCCTGGGGGATGGGTACAGGCCTCAGCTCAGCTCAGTGTGGGCCCCCCCACAGGAAGCTGCTAATGGATTCCCCGGAGGAGGACCCCAACTATCTGCCCCTGCCTGAGGAGCAGCCAGGACCCCATCTGCCACCCCCGCAGCAGTGATCCCGTGACAGCTGGGGCCAGCTCTGGCAGGCCTCCACCCCACCTGCACACCCAGCTCAAACCCATCCTGGAGACGCTAGTACCCGTGACCGACCTGAATAAACAGTGACCTGCAGCCTCTTGGCCACACACTGGCTTCCTCTGCCCTGTCAGCTGGGCATGCCCCGGGCCAGGCGCAAGGTGCAGCTCTACTTTCACCAAACCTGGCTGCCCTTTGAGCCCAGCCACAGGAGTGGTGTGGGAGGCTCCAAAGGCCTGGGCTGCCCACAGTGGTCCAACAGAGCTTGGGGCCTCAGTGGGGCCTTGGGCAGGTCCTACCTAGTCCCGGCCTCTATTCCCTGCTGGCCATTGAGCTTGCCAGGCCACAGCAGCCAGGGCTCAGGCCAGTGTGTGGGTGCCCCCTGTCCGTGGCACTTCACCTAGCACTCCCACCCCTTACTAGCAACCCCAACCCTGTCGAGGGGCCTTCTCCCCATTATCCGGCTGGTGCCACTGAGGCTGAGCAGCTAAGGGACTTAGCTGAGGCCTCATAGGGTCCTTCACCCTCCCTGTGGCTCCGGAGCCTGGAGAAGCTTCCACCTTAGCAGAGCCCTGTGATGAGTGAGGCAGACTGGGCAGCGAAGGTCCACTGCAGCCACTTTTAGCTAAGGACCCTGCGTGGGCCCTTGCCTGCTCTCCACAGCTTGGGTCTCTCATTTGTGAAGTGGGTGCCTGGAGGGCCAGCCAGCTTTCCCATTGCCCACGAGCAGTTGGCCTGACAGTTTATTCCTGGGTCACCAGCAGTACCAGAGTGGCACCTGCCCTGTATTATCTCTATTAAGACTGGGGCACACGCACAATTCACCATGTAGGGCCTCAACCAGGCAAGGAGACCCACGTGGGCAGACTGCCCTCACGTACCTACCTCCATCTTGTAGGGTGGGACACTTCATGTTTCAGGCAAGGGTGTGGGGGCCACAGAAAGGAGAACAGGGGAGAGGGGCCCAGGGTCATCCCACCGTCTCTCCGTACCACACGCACCCCACAGGCCAGTGTCCTGCCAGCATCACTCCTCACAACCAGCCTGGGGCAGGGGAGGCAGAAGCTGGCCTGGACCACAGTGTCAGGCAGGATGGAGGGCTCTGTCAATCTCTTACGCACACTGTGGTGAGGCTGGCACCCCAGCGCAGCCCAACGGGACCCCACCTGTGCCCTCTGGAAAGGGCTCTGGAGAGGCCCTGCTCGTAGCCTGGGGACTGAGCACTGGGGTGCAGCACCCAAGGCCATTCCGAGAGCCTGTGCTACTTCATTCAGCCAAGCAGAGCCACGTTGTGGGGGAGGTGCCCCCTGCCCTCTGGGTTCCCCCACTTCCTGTCTCCTGCCTCCGTGGGCCACTGGGGTCTGCTCTTCCATGGCCCCAAGGACTCTGTGGCTAGGGTGGCAGATAGGAAGCTTGAGGTCCAAGGAAAAGCCAAGCACTGTGCTGTGCTAGAGCTGGTGTGGCTGCAGACTGAGAAGTGGGGCCTAGAGCCTGTGACCCTGACCTGAGGACCTGAGACTGCAGAGGGAAGCCCACTGTCAGCTAGGACCCACGTCCCCCAGCCAGGCCCAGTAGCAGGCCGTGGCACTCACCACTCTCATTTTTAGTGACCAGTTGGAGAAAGGAAATAAGACCCATTGCCTTTTATTTAAAAAGTGTTGCTAGCCCTGCCTGGGGCTCCTATAGAAAAACTAAACACAACTCAAAATGAGGCCTCTTTCTGACCCCAGAGACTGAAGAGGGTGGGGGAGTGGGGCTCAGCAATGGAATGTGTGCCGGGGAGGCAGCTGGAAGGCCCCCTCCTGTGCCACCTGGCACGGCACAGCTGTCCCTGCCTCTTCTTGCCAGAAGGTACTGGAGAGAGCGGTGGTGTGATCTTCTGAGCCACTCCAGTGGACACCCATGCCGAGTGGTTACCAAGCTGGGGCAGTATTGGCGAGACGCCGCATCCGCCTGGGGGGAGAGGGCAGTGAGGCAAGGCAGCTACCAGCCAGGTGGCCCACCTTGGGCTCTAGGGCAGCTGGGTACAGGCAACAGGGATGGGAGCCCACCAGCAGGTCACTCAGGTTCCCCCTTTGCCTCGCTCATCTGCTGCCTAGCCCAAAAGTGGCTTGCTCTGCTGCCCTCAGCCCTGCCAGCTCTCTAGGGCCTGAGACCCAGCTCTGGGCTGTGGTCAGCACCGACCTGAGGGCCTTGTCACCCAGGGGCCTGCCTCTGGTACCCAGGTCCCACCCTGAGACCACAGGCCCTGGGAGGATGGAGATGGCCCTGCGCCCACCTGTGGGCAGAGCAGCTGCAGGGGCTGGAGGGTACCTTGTGTTCCTGTCCTGGTCGCGGATCTTCTTCTCCATCTCGGCGTCTGTCAGGGTCTCCAGCAGCGGGCACCACTGGTCGGCATCGCCAGTGTTCCGGATGGCGATCTCCACCGTAGGCAGGGGGTTCTCACTGCAGAAGGGGTAGGGAGAGCAGTGACTGGTTCACACAGCAGCACTGGTGGGGCCCAGAACCACACTGCCCGCCCTACAGATGGAAAGCTGTCCGCCAGTGTTCTGCGGCCATTGCCGAGGCTTGGCCAGGCTCCATCTCCCAGCTCCTTGGAGCAGTCCTCTGCACTAGGTGGCCTAGGGATGCCCCAGCTCCAACACCGGCACCCTGGGACCCCACGGGCCTCTCTGCAGAACACACTCCCAACAGGCCCTGTGTCAGTCACCCCAGCATTGCTCGGCTGAGGGGGAAGGGGCTGCTCACTGGCCGGGGGGGCGGGTCCACCAAGAAAGCAGGTTAGCTGGACTACTCCGGTGCTTGGTGGATCACAACCAGGAGGCAGTATCCACCTGGGCAGGGAAGGAGAGTCAATCACCCTGCTCAGTCCAGGGCCAGGACCCATCAGAGCTCGCAGGCCAGAGGAACAGGAAGAAAAATGGTGGCAGGAGGAATCCTCTGACCCCCTGAGGTATTCATCCCCTCCAGATGCAGAGGGCTGCTGGGCTGCCCATTCCTCAGTGTTCTGTATTGTGGCCCCTTGGCCCACTTCATGGGGCCAGGCTAAGTCCCAGAAAGGCCTGGTTACTTGCTTGGTCAGACAGCTGGTGAGCAAAGCCGAGTTGGAAACTGCATCCCTGACCCTACTCTGCCCTGGGGTCCCTCAGAGACCCAGTGGTCCATGCCGTGAAGGCTACCTGAGCATGCCCCTGCCAGTGGACTGTGCTCCCAGGACGGTCTAGACACCCAGCGTTGGGGAGGGAGGTCAAGAGCGGGCCCAGGAGCACTGGGATGGGGAGGAGGGCGCTAGGTGGATGTCTTCCAGATGCATGGGTTCCAGGAGGGCCTCGGGACCCACTGTCAGCTCCACCTTGGGGATAGAGAGCAGTTCCAGGGCTCGGAGCCTTCCTGATCAGATCACGCCCAGCCCCTGGCCTGGCAAACAAGCCTCAGCATGACCATGATCCTCCCATGGGTCTTGCCACATGCCCGCAAGGATCCTTCCTCTTGTCTTCTGAGGCCCAGTCCCAGAAAACTGCCCTGCTCTACTGCTGCACTCAGCAGGCAGGGGGAGCTCTGGGGGAAAGGGGGTAGATGGCCCCTGGTTGGCCTGCTGCCTGGTGGTTCTAGCCTGTCATCTGTGAAGTGGGAATGATCTTTGCTGCTGTGAGGACTGCCAGAGGGCTACTATGAGTAGCCAACATCCACCCACTGAGAGTACTGAGGGGCCTGGAACCTTCTCACATAGCACCTGCAGCTGGTCCCCCTATGTGCCCACTCCGGGCTCCCTGCTCTTGGGCCAGCCTTGGCTGACCTCCTGCCTGGGCGTGGCTGAGGCTGGCACAGTGGGCTGGTGCCTCCTGGGACTCTCACGGCACCCAGTGCTTGTGAGACCCCATCAGGCCCACATGGGGCCTGCCTGGCAGGGAGACAGCTGCTACCATGTCCCCTCTGTGGAAATGGCCTGGCCTCCTGCTCCTGAAGCTCACCTCGTCAAGTCCACACCCACTAGGCCCAGACACTGAGCGCATGCTGGTGACTCAGAGATGTATGGCTGGGCCCTGCCACCCACCCACCCCTGAACACTGGGGCAGGCCCTTCCTCAGAATCTCCTGATGGCAGCTCTCCAGCTAGTGCCTGGGGTTTGGCAATGTAGGAACCATCCAGCCCCAGACCATCATCAATCACTCGGGTGCTGGCTGCCTTCTGGGAGGGAGACATGAAAGGTGCCACAGCCACAACGAGGGGCAAAAGATGTTTCCATCCTGCATAAACAAGTGCTCGTGAGTGGTCCCTGAGGCCCCTTGTTTACCTCTTTAACTCTGGAAAGATTCCAACCCAGTGGGCTTGTTCTAAAGTAAGAACTGCCTGACCCAACCACATCGGGTGGGCCTGGAGCCAGCATGGAGGCTGACTTGGGCCGTGGGGACAGCGGCAGATGCAGCCTGAGCTCGAGGACCTGGAGGCTGTGAGAGCCGCCCCGTGTCCCCTCCTTGGAGGGGATTCTGATTTGTGGGTCATCCCCACAGCCCTGCAGTGTCCAGGTGGGGACACACACCCAGGCCGGGAAGGGACTGAGGCCTGTGGGGTACCATGATGTTCATGTTCAATGGGATCTCGCTTCCATGACACCACTGGATGCAGCAGGCACTAGATGCAGGCCAGCTGAGATAAACGAGAGAATCGAGTGGAGGGGAAATGGCCTGCCTGCAGCCACACAGCTGGGAGGAGAGGAGATGAAACTCGATGTCCCCTCCAACAAGGGTGTCAAGTCCATTCAGTGGAGGGAACAGTCTTCTCAACAAATGGTGCTCAAACAACTGGATCTCCACATGCACAAGGATGAACTTGTATCCTACCTCACACCACATACAAAAATTAACTCAAACAGATCAAACACCTAAATGCAAGAACTGAAACTATAAAACTCTTAGAGGAAAACATAGGTGTAAATCTTCGTGTCTTAGATTTGGCAATGGTTTCTTACATATATCACTAAAAGCACAAGAAATAAAATGAAAAATAGATAAATTGGACTTCATCAATATTAAAAACTTTTGTGCTTCAAAACACATCATCAAGAAAGTGAAAGACAATCCACAGAATGAGAGAAAATTTTTGGAAATCATACGACTTGTAAGTGTCCAGTATCCAGAATATAAGGAGCCCTGGTAGTGCACTGGTTAAGTGCTTGGCTGCTAACTGAAAGGTTAGTGGTTCAAACCCACCAGCCACTCGTTGGGAGAAAACACCTGGCGATCTGCTCCCATAATGATTACTGCCTGGGAAACCTTCTGTGGCAGTTCTACTCTGTCATATAGGGTCACTATGAGTTGGAATTGACTCGATGACACCCAACAATCCAGAATATATAAAGAACTCTGAAAACTCAGGAAGATACAACCCAATTAAAAAATGGGCAAAAAACCTGAATAGACACTAAATAGACCACTCTCTAAAACTAGAGAGTGGTGATGGCTGTACAATCTATGAATATACTAAAAACCACTGAACTGTACACTTTAGATGGGTACAAGTAGGGCATATTAATTACAGCTTTTAATAAGCCGTTACAAAAACCCACCCACCGTGATGTCAGGCAGGGCTAATGGGCAGAACATCAGGACTAACCTCTTCACCTTGTTCTGTGCAAATGTGACCCTGGCGTCCCCCCACCAAGTTCCTGAGACTGTACCAGTGCCACTGTCTCTGGCCCTCACTCAGGCCCAGATGCCCAGTGCCCTGACCCTTCACCCCCTGCCAGCACCCCTACAGCACATGCTCCTGGCAGGGTCACTGGTGTGAGGAGTCCCGAGGGCAAACCTCTACTGTCTGATCCACAGTTAGTGCCCAGAGATAGGCCGCCTGCCTGCCGCCCTGAGCACCTACCCTGTCCTTCCAGCCAGCAGAGCCAGCTAACTCGATTCATGGTCTTTCATGCTGTGCACTGTCACTACATGTTGGTGGCCACCCCACGTGTCTGTGTCCTCTGGGTGCCCAGCTCAGGAGGGGCCAGAAGACTTTGCCGGATGAAATTCTCCTACACAGGAGGAGCAAGCAGCAGACTCGGCTCTGGGAAAACGTCCAAACACCCCTTTGTCCAGCCCAGCCCCAGGCTATGCCCCGCCCCCTCCTGTCACTCTGTCTCCACTGCCCTGCTCCTAGACATCCATGTTGGCTGGTCCAGCTCTGTCCTCTAGGGGACTGGGGTCCTAGCCAGTTTGCCGTGTGCTCCTAGTTTGTGGCACACCCATTTTCTCCCTTCATGCTCACCCAAAGCCTACTTCCTGGCCTCTCCAGGTCCACCCCTGTGCCCCTACTGCTGAGTGCTGGGCAGTGGTCGAGCTTGGCCCCGGTCCCCACCCTTGGGCACCTCACCTGTCACACACATCCTGTGACCAGTGGCTCACCTCAGCCTACTGTGGACAGTGGTCCTTGTCCTGAGGAGGGCGCCACAATGGGATGGGCTTAGGAATGGGAAGGGACAGACAGGACTGCTGGTAGGACTGAGTCTTCCAACATAGTGACAGAGCCCCAGGACTTAGAACCAAGTTGAGTGGTGCAGGAGTTGTCAAGGTTTACATGTAGCACAAAGGCCAGGCCAGGGCTCCTGGTCCAGGTCCTCCGTGGGCTGGGTGGCTCTCCCTTCTGCTGGGGGGCCTTGAGCAGGCACCCTGTACCCTATGGGTACCACTCACCCTGGGGGGAGGTGAGTGGTGCTGTGGGACGAGTATGGGTGGGCAGGGGTCACACCTTCCACCCCTCACTCTCTGCAGTGGCCACAGTTGTCCCCCGGACAGTAACACCTGGGATGAGTTGGCCTCTGGCCCTCCCCTCTGCAGCACACTCCCAGGTGAGCACCCTGGCTGCTGAGACCAGATGCAGCACACAGAATGTGCTGGGCCAAGGTGCGAAGCCCTGCTCATGAGGCCTGGCCAGCTGGGGGGTGCAGGCGGCCCTCCTGATGCCCAAAGGTGATGGGATGCCTGCCTTGGCCCCAGGCAGGCCACAGCCCTCCCACCTTGTTGGCCCCGGCTAACGGGGAGCAACGTGTGTGCCCAGTTCCCAGTGGGCGGCCCTGCTTTCATCTGAAGACCCAAAACCTGCACGCTCAGCACCACCACCGTGGTGGGATGAGGCTCCGTGGCTCCCAGCTCCACGTGGCTAGAATTCATTAACCAGTCACCAAGATAAGGGAGGAATCTGCCTGTAAATCCGGACCTGCCAGCTGATAAGCGTGCAGCGGGAGGCGGCTCAGGAGCCAAGTGGCCTCATGTTGGCCACCCTGGAACAGGCAAGGGCCAAGGTGGCTAGTCAGGTGTCCTAGGGTCAGAGTTGGGGGTGCTGCCCAGGCTGGTGGTCGAGGGAACTATGCAGGAAGGACCCTGCAAGAGGGCTCAGTGACTCTAATTCTGAAGCCCCGAATGGTGCTGGCGGCCACCATGTGGCCAGGTGGAGTTTTGATACCTCGCATCCAGCTGCTTGGAGCAAGACACACTGTCTGTGTCTGAGAGCCCAGAGTGTGGGCTATGACTTGAACGCAGTCTGGGGTGAGGTGACCTGTGTCAGGATCATCCCCAGGACCTATGCAATGTTACAGCCTTAAAAGGCCTGAGGGCGACTCCTGGGGGCGAGTTTGTCCCCAACAGGCTCTTGGGCCTGTCAAACTTGGCACCAGTAAAGAGGGAACAGACGGCACACTGCTCACCTGCCAGAAGCAGGAGGTGCCAGTAGACACCCACTCCCCAGCCTGGCCCTTCAGGTGGGATGCCATGGGAGACCCTGGATACCCACCTCAGCCCAGAGGTGGGGTACTCAGCCACTACGGGCGGAGCCACCACCCTGTGGAAAAGTCATTCCTTCTCTCCTGGTCAGATTTATAGGCAGCAGAAGCACTGTCTCATGGGATTTCTGGGAAAACAAGATGACTCACAGACTCATTAACCATCATGTCTGCAAAGGGACTTGGGTCCTGGCTCCTCATTCGTCACTCTAAGCTGCAGGCCCTGCCCATAATGACAACCACATGTGGATAGTAACAGTTTGACACGTGGCATGAACCCTAACATCATGTTTTGACACAGGGATGCTCAGCACTTCTGTCCTACCCACTCCTAACACAAGCAAGAGCTTAGAGGACAGAGCTGGATGTTTTGAGCAGCAGCCCTGAGTGGGCTCCCCACTCCATGTCCTGATGAGGCGGTGGGCTCCACCACAGTTAGCACTTGTATGCTCAGCCCCCTAAAAGGAACAGGAAGGCAAGGCCCCACCTGAGGAGCCCCTACCCTCTGGCCAATCCCCTAGCACAGAGGACACAAGGCCATGATGTCCTGTTCACACTCCTGCCTTCTCAGCAGGGCTGAGGGTGGGGCCCAGATGGCCTGTCTCTTCCCTGGCACCCTGTCCCTTCCCCGGCACCCTGTCCAGGCCCAGCCCCGCATGGGTGCTCCTCAGATGTTCTCTGACCCAGCGAATGAAGGGAAAGGTGAGAGTAAGATCAGGAAAAAGTAGCCGCTGGGGGAGGCCATGCCGAAGACAGACTCGGCAAGGCCCTCCACCGAAGAACCCTGATGGGTAACAGTTTGCGTGAAAGCTTAGAGAACTGCCACACAGTTGCTGTGGGTGCCAGACCACAAGCCAGGGTGGTGGTGGGGGTGGAGGCGGACAGAAGGCCTCAGGGGTAAAGCCAAGAGGGACAGACAGATGGGACTTGGGGGCTAAGCAGATGTCAGGGGTTCGAGCTCACAGTGACAGAACTCTGATGCTGCTGGCCACCCAGATCCACGCTTCTCTTGACGCAGCCGACCCCGACCCAGGACTTGGAGTCCGGCTGAGCCCAGGTCTCTGGTGGGGTGGAGCGCATGACGCAAGAGCCTGTCTGGGTCTGTCTGTCTCTAGTCTGATGGCTGTGGCCTCTAAGGCGTGACCAGACTGCAAGGCCCAAGAAAGCCCCAGGTACCCAATTCATGTGAAGAAAGAAGTCTCCTTGAGATGCTCTGCAGAGGACAGCGGGAGGGCTGTGTGTCCTACCTGAAGGCATAGGTCTTCTGGTGCCAGCTCAGCTGTCCCCGGATACTGTAGGCGATGGTGGTGACAAACTCCCCGCCTAGCCCCAGCTCCGAGCACAGCTTCAGGGCAAACTTCTCAGGCGAGTTCTCCTTCTCCGACATGTCCCACTCAAACTGGTCCACCAGGGAAATGTTGCCCACGTGGATGTTCAGCTAGGGGCACACACGAGGGTTAGTGTGTCTCACATGCAGCCACCCAGAGAGGCCTGGAGCACATGAGGGCAGCTTCTCAGGCCCACCAGACATGAGCTGAGACCTGAGAGAGGCCCTCCTTCTGGCTGCAATTTCCCCACCTGCAAAATGGGCCTGACCCCATGAACCTCCTGGGACTGCAAAGAGAGGGCAGCCTGAGTCCACCTCCCCTATGCCTGCCCAACTCGCTCACTGCAATGGCCATGCCCTCTTGCCTGCCCTTCCACACACGGAGCTCCTCCTGCCTCAGTGCCTTCATCCTTGCCAGTCCCTCAGCCAGGAACCCCAATCTTCATGTGACCACAATGGCCAGGCAGGACTCAGCTCAGTGTCACCAAGTGCCTGCCTCATCCCTCACAGGACTGCGGAGGGGCTTATGGAGACAGCACAGGGAGCACACGCAGGGTAAGCATGGAGACCATGTCCCCATCCCCACTGTGCGGGGCAAGCATGGAGACACAGGCCCCACTGTGCAGGGCAAGTGTGGTGACGCCGGTCCCACTATGGCACCTGCCTGGTCTTGGCCTGTGTCAGCTTCTCTACCTCCCTTGTACTGCTGGGCTCTGCTCAGTGCCTGACCCACAGCAGTACCCCAAGACGGTCTGCTCTGGACGTGCCTAGCAGTGACACCTAACTGACAGAAGCTGCTGAACACCTTGCTTGCCCTCCATGGTGGGGGGTGCTGCCCCTGAGAAGGCTTCCCAAAGCCCCTCCCCACAGTACTGACCCCAGAGATGGATGGTGCCAAGGCCTTGCTTTATTGCTGGTACCTAGTGTGAAGGCGGGGCGCCTACCTTGATGATGACACGCTGGTCTGATTGGTCCTCCAGGATGCTGTCTGTGGGGTAGGACTCGATCTGCTGCCGGATGGCTGAGGCGATGGCCGGCACAAATGTCAGTGGGTTCAAGTCCAGGTCGTCACAGAGGATCTCCGAGAACATCTCGGGGGTCATCAGCTTCTCTGCAATCAGAAGACGGGACGACTGGCTGATGCTCCAGTCCTGGGCACCTGGACGCCCCCCTTTCCTTGTCTGCCATGAAGACTGGGGACATGAGGGTGGCCCTCATGGATGGGGTTGGGGGACCTGACACGTGTCCTTGCCATCCTCCACTCACATCTCCTCTTCCACGCTGAGAGGTCGAGCCCCCTGCCGAGGGGACAGGCCGGCTGCCCAGTACCCTCCCAGCCAACTTTCATTGAAACACCAGTGCCCGGAGTGGTCTTCCTCTATGACCTGGCTTCAGTGACGCCTTCCCTCGCCTGCTCCTCTGGGGACATGCGCTCTGTCCTCTACTCTGCACTAGCATGTACGACACAGTGCTACAATCAGCTATGACATCCCCTGCCTGCTGCACAAGTCTGGGGGGCAAGGCTGCGGGGTCCCATTTGTACCCTGATGCCCGTCGTGGGCTCTGGTGCTCAGCACACTCTCTAGCATGTCACCAGCTCTCCCACCCAGAGCTCCAGCTCCCAGGCACATTCCTCTCTTAACCTCCTTACTATTATGTTGTTGTTAGCTGCCACTGAATCAGCTCCAACTCATGGTGACCTCATGTACAAGAGAACAAAACATGGCCCAGTCCTAAGTCATCCTCATTCTCACTGGCATGTTTGAGTCTATCAGTGCAGCTCTTGTTCCAATCCATCTCACTGAGAGTCTCCTTTGCCCTCATTGGCCCTCTGCTTCACCCAACATGATGTCCTCCTCCAGCAATTGATCTTTCCTGATGACATGTCCAAAGCAAGTGAGTCAGACAATGTTCTGTTGTGATCCATAAAGTTTTTATTGGCTGATTTTCAGAAATAGATTTCCAGGCCTTTCTTCCTAGTCTTAGTCTGGAAGCTCTGCTGAAATCTGTCCACCATGGGTGACCCTGCTGGTATTTGAAATACCGGTGGCATAGCTTCAAGCATCATAGCAACATGCAAGCCACTACAATGACAAACAAACAGACGGGTGGTGGCCTGTTACAACACAGATGGTTAAAACAAACAAACAAAACTCCATAAAACTCAAGCTTCAAAAAGCACCTGGAAAACCACCTGGCCCAGGAAGTGTCTGCTTGAGGACCTTTATTAACAGTGCGGGAACACACTGCCATGGCGAGGTCCTGGATGCCAAATCTGTGAAAGTGACAACCTGTTACAATGCTCCTCAAGACAATCTACTAGCTTGTGAAGCAGTCCCACCAAAACAAATGCCAGCCTCCTTCCTGATGCCACCCTTGAGCCAGCACTGACTGGGGGTGAGGGGGAGACCGTGGCTCCAACCTTCCACCTCATTCCAAATGCCCCTGCCTCGGGCCAGCATCAACCAGGGACCATGGCTCCGTCCACCACCTTACCACCTAGGAGAGGAACCCCTCAGGGAAAACACCAAGTGGCTTGTGATTTTTCACAGGCCTCCCTCAGCTGACCCTTGGCTCATGCTCACCAAGATGACAAGTGGGGAGGTTTGTACAGATCCTGTAAGTACAGCCACACTGAGAGTGAGGCTGCAGGAAGGGTCTGCAGCTGGACAGATGACAGCAATGTCCCGCTGTCAAATGTTCTAGCCCTGATTTTGTAACCCAAACCTTGAAGACAAGATCACTCTGGAATGAGCTGCAGGCAAGAGGGAGCTAAGAAAGAATTCCTTCAGGAGCAGACAGCACGACCCCATCAACAAGATCCAGGTCTGGCTTTGACAGGAATCTGATCCCACTATTCCCTTACTGTCTGAAAGAAGGCTGGAGACCAGCCGTCCTAAAAGCACCATTCTAGGCCACATGACATGCAGCCAGATAAGCGTTGGCAACTCACGCAGCAAGTAAGAGTGGCTTATTTTGAAGGTTACAGCAAGACACAGAAGTGCTCACATTAAGCACCTGAGCACATGACCTACTTTTTTAAAAATTAAACCTTTTGAGATAATTGTAGATTCAATTGCAGTTGTAAGAAAGAATAAAGAGAAACAAGTGGGACTTATCCCAGGAGTACAAGGGTGGTTCAACAAGAAAATCAATCAATGTAATACACTACATTAATAAACCAGAAAAACCAACCCTGTTTCCACTGAGTCGATTCTGACTCATGGTGACCCTATGTGTTACAGAGCAGAACTGCTCCATAGGGTTTTCTTGGCTGTAATCTTAAAGGAAGCAGACCACCAGGCCTTTCCTCCACAGTGCCAGTGGGTAGGTTCAGACCACCAACCTTTAAGGTTAGTCATCAAGGGCATATTATTTGTGTGATCCAAGAGCCTTCCCACATTAATAGAACAAAGGAAAGAAAACACATTATCATTTCAATTGATGCAGAAAAAGCATTTAGCAAAATCTAACACCGTCTCATGATAAAATCATGCAACAAACCAGGAATAGAAGGGAAATGACTCAACATGGTAAAGAGTGTTCACGAAAAACCCACAGCTAACATCATACTCTATGGAGAAGGACTGAAAGCTCTCCCCCTAAGATCACGAACACAACAAGGATGCTCACTCTTACGACTGCTATTCAACATTGTACTGGAAGTCCTACTCAGAGCAATTAGGCAAGAAAAAGAAATAAAAGACATCGAAATTTGGAAAGAAAGAAGTATAACTACCTCTATTCACTGTTGACTTGAATCTATACCAAAAAAAAAAAAAAAAAATCCCAAAGAATTCACAAGGCTACTACACTACAGCTAATAAATGAACTCAACAAAGTTGTAGGGTACAAGATCAACATGCAAAAATGAGTTGTGTTTCTATATACCAGCAATGAACAATTTAAAAAGGAAATTAGGAAAACTAATCCATTTACAATAGCATCTGAAGGAATAAAATAGCTGAAAATAAATTTAACTAGGGAGTAAAAAGACTTGTACACTGAACACTATAAAACATCACTGAAAGAAACCAAGGGAGACCTAAATAAATGGAAAGATACACCTCCATGGATTGGAAGACTTAATATTGTTAAGATGTCAACACTACCCAAAGTGATCTAAATATTCAATACAATCCCTATCAAAATTCCAAGTCTTTTTTTGCAGAAATGGAAAAGCCAATCCTCAAATTCATATGGAATGGAAAAGGGCCTTAATAGCCAAAGCAATTTTGAAATAGAAAAAAAAAGTAGTAGGACTCACACTCCCTGATTTAAAAATGTACTACAAAGCTACAGTAATCAAAAGAATGTGGTACTGGTATAAAGGCAGACATATAGACCAGTGGAATGGAATTGAGAGTCCAGAATAAACCTATGTATATGGTCAATTGATTTTTGACCAGGGTGCCAAGTCCACTGAATGGGGAAAGAATAGTCTCTTCAACAAATTGTGCGAGGGCAACTGAATAGCCACATGCAAAAGAATGAATGTGGTCTCATATCTTGAACCATATACAAAAGTTAACTCAAAATGGATCAATGACCTAAATGTAAGAGCTAAAACCATAAAACTCTTACAAAAAAACATAGGAGTAATGCTTCAGCCCCCCCCCCTTTTTTTTCTTTAATAATTTTGTGTTTTTGGTGAAAGTTTACACAGCAAATTAGGTTCCCATTTGCCAATTTCTATACAAATTGTTCAGTGACATTAGTTACATTTTTCACAATGTGTCAACACTCTTTTCAACTGCGTTCTGGTTGTTTCTTTTCCAGTGCTCTAGTTTCCCTGCCCCCTTATCTTCTCATCTTTGATTTAGAGTAATTGTTGACCTTTTGGTCTCATATATTTTTAATAGAAAACCGTACTTACAGGTAACATACCTTCTTTTGTATGCCAATCTGTTATTTCACTAAAAAGTGACCTCAGGATAGTTTCAGTTCAAACTTTAAAGAATATCTCAGGGTGACAGTCTCAGAGAATCCTCTACTGTCAAATCGTCCAATAAGTCTGGACTTTTTAAGAAACTGAGTTCTGTTCTGTGTTTTTCTCTCGTTCTATCAGGGTCTATCTATTGTGGCCCTGATCAGAATGGTCGGTAGTGGTTGCTGGGCATCAAGTTCTGGTCTCAGGGTAGATGAGGCTGTGGCTAGTGCAGAATATTAGCCCTGTAGACTAGTTTCTTTTCTGAGACTTTGGTTTCCTTTTCTCTTTTACTCCTGATGAGCAGAGACCAAGAGTTGTATCTTAGATGGCTGCTCGCAAACTTTTAAGACTCCAGACGCTACTCACCTCACTAGGATGCAGAACATGAACTTTGTGAACTATATTGTCATGGACTGAGTTGTGTCCCCCAAAAATACCTGTCAGCTTGGCTGGGTCATGATTCCCAGTATTGTATGACTGTGTTATCTGATGTGATTTACTTATGTGTTGTATACTGTATCACTATGATGAGATTATATGGATCTCCTTATGTGTTTTAAATTCTATCACTGGGACGAGGTTATACTGATGAGGTTGACAAGATTAGTGTCTTAATACAATCTCTGTTGAGATATAAAAGAGAGAAGCGAGCAGAGACACATGGGAACCTCACACCACCAAGAAAGTAGTGCCGGGAGCAGAGCGCGTCCTTTGGACCAGAGGTTCCTGTGCTGAGATGCTCCCAGACCAAGGGAAGACTGATGCATCACAAGGACCTTTCTCTAGAGCTGACAGAGAGAGAGAGAGAACCTTCTCCTGGAGCTGATGCCCTGAGGTTGGACTTGTAGCCTACTGGACTGTGAGAAAATAAACTTCTGCTTGTTAAAGCCATCCACTTGTGGTATTTCTCTGTTGGAGCAGCTCTAGATAACTAAGACATGTATTATGGCAATTGACTAAGCTGGCCCATGAAATTAAGGTCTCAAGCCTTCAAACCCAGAAAACCATTTTCACAAGGTGTTTGGTTATGTCTGAGAAATATCTGCTAATTATGTTTTCTATGGTTATATATGTGAGCACACACATATCTGTACATACATATATATAGATACTTCTATCTCTGCACACGTATGTACACACCTGTACCTACCCATACTCATATATGCCTATACACATACATA